CAAAATCTAAACCTTGTCTTAAAAATCTGGGACTGGGGGCCGGCGCCGCGGCTCACTAGGCTAATCCTCCACCTAGCGGCACTGGCACACCGGGTTCTAGTCCCGGTCGGGGCACCGGATTCTGTCCCGGTTGCCCCTCTTCCAGGCCAGCTCTCTGCTGTGGCCCGGGAGTGCAGTGGAGGATGGCCCAAGTGCTTGGGCCCTGCACCCCATGGGAGACCAGGAGAAGCACCTGGCTCCTGCCTTCAGATCAAGTGTGGTGCGCTGGCTGCTGCCAGCTGTGGCGGCCATTGGAGGGTGAACCAATGGCAAAAGGAAGACCTTTCTCTCTCTCTCTCTCACTATCCACTCTGTCAAAAAAAAAAAAAAAAAAAAAAAAAAAAAAAAAAAAAAAAAATCTGGGACTGGGGCCGGCGCTGTGGTGGAGTGGGTAAAACCACCGCCTGTAGTGCCAGGATCCCATATGGGTGCCAGTTTGAGTCCTGGCTGCTTCACTTCCGATCCAGCTCTCTGTTATGGCCTGGGAAAGCAGTGGAAGATGGCCCAAGTCGTTGGGCCCCTGCACCTACATTGGAGACCCGGAAGAATCTCCTGGCTCTTGGCTTTAGATAGGTACAGTTCCGGCCATTGCGGCCAACCGGAGAGTAAACCAGCAGATGGAAGACCTCTCTGTTTCTCCTTCTCTCTCTGTGTAACTCTGACTTTCAAATAAAAAAAAAAAATCTTAAAAAAAAAATATGCACTGGTTCTTAATCTGAACTGAGCACTCCTGGCACCCCCAACCTTTCATTTTCTTCTGTTACTGAAGCATGTGTTGGCTTATTCTCAACATCACCTCCTGCTAGACTCACTGAGAGTGGATTCTGTATTTAATTCTTGGAATCTCTCTCTATTCCACAGTGCCTTTTTTTTTTAAGGTTTTAAAAACACTTTCTAGTAAATAACTGCCTATTGGGAAGACAGTGATACTCATTGTTTCTTGTTTCTTAGGATCTTGTCAGGAGTCCAGCACCAATGCTCTGAGAAGGACCAAGCAGCGTGTAGAGAGGTCCTCAGGCAGAGACCCACGTGGAGAGGAATCCAGGCCCTAACCCTTGGTCCTCACTGAGCTTCCACGTGCCAGCTTGCACTGACTTGCCAGATTCAGGAATGTGTCATTTTGGAAGTAGGTGATTTTAACACCATTCAAGCTACTCTAATTAACACAATGTGAAATGAAATAATTATAAACCTTCCTAAGAACAGCCTAAACTGTAGCTTCACAAGTTGTTTTGGGTAGTTTGTTATACAGCAATAATAACTGGAATGTAGTTGAAACGATAAACGTTATTATTTTCTTCTAAGATGACAGCGTACTTTTGCTCCAAGAAAAGAGAAGCCATGACAAAAAGTCAACATACGTAGCTTAAATGAGCACAGTACAAAACCCCGCTTAGTAGAGAAGCTGTAATGCAAGAGGGAAGAATAGAGTGATTAGAGAGGAAAGTGGAATGATAAAGAGGGGAAAAATGATAAAGTAATTTCTCTGACTTTCAGCAGTAGAGTAAGTTAGGTAAAAAGGAATACCACTATGCAAAGTCCAACTTTCAATGAGCTAAGAGACCTATTTCAAGAAAGAATCTGATCTTTAGAACTGGAAGAAATTCTTTAGTCCAATCTTTTATTTAAAACAATTATTTTTTATTTGAAAGGCATCAAGAATGTGGGGAGAAGGAGGAGGAAGGAGGGAGAGGAAGAGGGACAGAGAGAGAGAGACAGAGAAAGAGACACACACACAGATACACACAGACACACACACACAGATCTATCTCTGCCAATTCACTCTCCAAATGCCCCAAACAGGATGAGGCTGAGCTAAAGCAGGAGCCTGGAACTCAATCTGGGACTCCTACTTGGGTGGCAGGGACCCAAGTACTTGAGCCCCCACCTTCTGCCTTCCAGGGTACCCATTAGCAGGAAGCTGGATTAAAGTGGAGGATCTGGGACTTAATATGGCGTCGTGGATGCTGCAATAACTGTTGCATCAAAAGTCTGTCCCCAATCTCTTTTATTTTTGTAATTGAGGAGAGAAAAAACATACACAGAGAGGTAAGGTGCCTAGATCATGCAGGTCTTGAGTCCAAGGCCTGCCACTGCATCACACTGCATTGCCGGAGTCCTGCTTTGAACTTACAGGCAGAACCTACCTCCTCAGACTATGGGTGTCAGAGTGTAGGCGAATGGTACTTACACTGCGTGTAAAGAATCAGCTGTCTCATTTCCCGTGAAAAACAATGTTCCTGGATTCCTAAATGGAAGTCTAATCTGAAAACCATGGAGATCAATGTATAACAGAAAACAAAAGAAAACGCCAATCAAAGAATGGGGTAGAACAATACTTGGGGTTACTTCATTAAAGAAGAGTGATGTTATCCATTCAAAATGGGGAGTTCCACGAAAAGTAGCCATCTGAAGAAAGCAAACTGGAATGTAATATAGTGGTGTGGGGGTAGCAGAAAGAGTGCATTACCCTTTCACCTCCTCATTCTTCATCAAACACTGAAGCTGATGTCACACTGGCAAATTCCAGAGGCTCTAGCTACACTACTAGAAAGAATTAACTAGTAAAGGCCTTACCCTTCTGTTGGTCACTCACTCACTTCTCTCATGGAGAGTAAGCCCTTGCCACATCAATTTATTATACTCCCATGAAGGACAAAGCACCTAAAATGCCAAGAAGTGGGTGAGTGAGTACAGAACTCTGGGTTGTTTTTATCCATAATTTGGAGGTAATAATACTTGTTTCCAAACCACAATCATATTAAAATAAACTTAATCACAAACATGGATTTTTATCCAGCTCTTACAACATAAAGGTTTAATAATTTGTAGTTTTTATGATAAATCAACTAAAATTAACATTACTAGCCATCTTCCAGAGAAGTAATATGCGTAAGAGAAGTGAACATGGCACAGGGTATTATGCTGGATGGCCCAATTACTGTGACTGTAAAAGGCAGAGCACACGAAACTTACACGTAAGAGAAAACTTTGCAATTTAGACTGCCATCATAAACTTTATCAATTTGTCTAAATCTGTGACAAAGTGCAAGCTCTTAACTGTGGCTTTTAGCTAATATTTTTGTCTACCGTGATTAAAATTTCATGCAGGCTTAAGACATCCTATCACCACAACCAAAGCCATGTTGTTTAATACTCAAAAATCAAAACTAAACATTCTAATGCTACAGGAAGAATAAAAGCTTAGTTTTATGATTAAATGGGAGAACACGTAGTTACTTTTTTAAATCCTCAAAACACAGAATATTAAGACCAAAATCACACGAGTAGGATCTAGTGATTACTAAGCATACACAGAGTTCAGGAAAATGTAGGTTCCTTCTCTGATATCACAGGGCAGTTGACAGGAGAAAAGCCTCTCAGAGCTATCAACAGAAAGCCTGAGACTTGAGATTCTGACCAACAGAAACACACTGCTTATATCAAGTAACACATCTATACACAAAATCTATCATGTCATTCATTGGAAAAGTTACGATGAAACACAGAAAGTTCATATTTTCATTTTCTATTCTGTAGACTGGCAATCTCAACTTTGGCATGTATCAAAGTCATCTGAGAAGCAATGAGAATGCAGGTACTAGGGTAGGTGAGGTGGCACAGAGGTTAAGCAGCCACTCGGGAGCCCTGCATCCCATTAGCAGAGTGCTCTGGGGGTCTGAAGCCTGGCTCTGCTTCTGACCTGGTTTCCTCCTAATGAGCTCCCTGGGAGGCAGCAGATGAGGCTCAAGTATTTGGTTCCTTGCCACCCATGTGGGAGACCCTGAAGGAGTTCTGGGCTCCTGCTAACTGGCTATTATAGGCATGTAGGGAGTGAACCAGCAGATGGAAGGTATCTTTCTCTCTTTGCTTTTCAAAGAAAAAAACCCAAAAAAGAATGTAGCTACTTGGGCCGCATCCCACTGAATCAGAAATTTTTCCAATATCTCCACTGTTTTTTTTTTTTTTTTTTTTAAAGATTTATTTATTTATTTGAAAGGCAGAGATAGAGAGAGAAAGGTCTTCCATGCTCTGATTCATTCCCCAAACGGCCACAACAGCCAGAGCTGGGCCAATATGAAGCCTGGAACCAGGAGCTTCTTCTGGGTCTCCCAAGTGGGTGCAGCAGCCCAAGGACTTGGGCCATCTTCTACTACTTTCCCAGGCCACAGCAGAGAGCTGGATGGGAAGTGGAGCACCTGGAACTCGGACTGGCACCCATCTAAAATGCCAGCACTGCAGGTGGTGGCTTTACCCACTATGCCACGACACAGACCCCAGTATCTCCACTGTTAAACAAATTTCCCAGGTGATTCCAATTCAAACCACAGTCTATTTTCGAATTACAGTTTATATGAACAACTATTGTTTTCTAATATATTAACAGTGTAACTGCTGTACTTTCTCTCTCCACACAAACACACACTTACCTTTCAAAATGCTGAGGTATCCGAGGCAATCTCAGTAAAGGTAACTCACTTTCCTTGGCCAGCTGTAAAAGCCTAACTGAATGTAATGTGGCAGAGACAGAAAAGGCAAACAGCTTCATGAGGCTATTTTGTAAGGGACAGAGAACAGCAGTCCAGGAAGGAAAGACGTAAACTGTTGTCTTTGGGGCTGGTGTTGTGGCATGGCAGGGTAACCCGCTGCCTGTGACACCGACATCCCATATAGGTGCTGGTTTGAGTCTGGGTGCTCCATTTCCGATCCAGCTCCCTGCTAATGTGTCTAGGAAGGCAGCAGAAGATGGCCCCAGTGCTCGGGATCCTGACACCCACGTGGGAGACCTGGATGGAGTGCCAGGCTCCTGAGTTTTGGGCTGGCTCAGCCTTGGCCATCTGGGGAGTGACTCAGTGGATGGAAGATCTGTATTCTGCCTTTCAAATCAATTAATCAACCTTTAAAAAACCAAAAACAAAAACTACTTTCTTAAACAACCCCAAGAGATAGTAAATATTTACCTGGTCCCTGTTGTTGATGTTTGAGTAAGGTAACTGCCCAGTCATCAATTCATACAGAACAATCCCAAATGCATATACATCTGACTGAAAGCTATATGGGTTTTTGTCTTGCATTCTGATTACTTCTGGTGCCTGTTAGGACATAAAAAGAGAAACATGCTTGTTTATTCTTTAACTGAGTAAAAACAGAAAACAAACTACTGTAATTCCCACAGCAATGCTTTTACCATAAAAAATCCATCTAGTATGTAGTTAAATCTCTTATTAAGGGTCAAAGAAACAAAAAGATTAAGAAAAAGGAAGGAAAAAACCTCTATAAAAGAAACCTCTATAGGCCGGTCCTGCGGCCCAATAGGCTAATCCTCCGCCTGTGGCACCAGCACCCCGGGTTCTAGTCCCGGTCGGGGTGCCAGATTCTTTCCCGGTTGCCCCTCTTCCAGGCCAGCTCTCTGCTGTGGCCCGGGAGTGCAGTGGAGGATGGCCCAAGTGCTTGGGCCCTGCACCCGCATGGGAGACCAGGAGAAGCACCTGGGTCCTGGCTTTGGATCAGCGAGGTACGCTGGCCGCAGCAGCCATTGGAGGGTGAACCAACAGTAAAGGAAGACCTTTCTCTCTTTCACTGTCCACTCTGCCTGTCAAAAAAACAAAAAAAAACCACAAAAAATCTCTATAAACTCTGAATGAGGCAGTTTTAGCTGAGACTCCGTAATCAAGCATTAAAATTTCATAATTTAATCTCTCTCTTTTTGTACAAAATAACCATCATTGGCATTTGAATTCTTCCCATGATATACCCTATCAGAATCAATTATCATTTCCTATTCCTGACTCAGGAAACAGTAGATCTATATTTATAAAATTATAAAATATGGGGAAACAGTACAAGTACTGTAGTAACTGTCTCAGAATTGAAGTCTCAGAATTTCCTTAGTACAAATGATTTCCGTTACCTGAAGGTACCACAGAAAATAACGGTAAAATTTCAAGACTGATAAACTCAAATCCCCTCCCCCCCGCCATGGGATAAACGTGCTATGGATGCTTCACCAACAAAAGCAATAGACAGCATATTTAGTGGCAGATGGTACAGAAGATCTTTTGACTGCTGCTTTTTGGGCAAAGAAGCAGACCACCTCGTATCTGCTACATTTTTACACATATCAGTCACTGCACTGCATAATTAGTTTCTTATTCACATGAAATGCAATAAATGGTTGGTTAAAAATTAGTTTAAAAGATTTCTTCTTTCACTTTGCATTTTCTGTATTGTTTCATTTGGAAGGAAATAAAGAAACTGAAGGGTTACTAATGAAAATTTTGCGCAAACATCAGATTTGCTAGCAACAGCAGTACTAACTGCAAAGTGGCACAAGCACAGGGCCGGGCTCCCGGCTGCTGGTGCAGAAAGGCAGCTGTCTCACACGCAGAGGCAGTGTGTCACCCGCCACAGATGCAGACGAGAATCACCTGGGACGCCTCTGCGCTTCTCAGTGCCCAGACGACATTCTAATCCAATTAACATCCCATCAGACCGAGTGGGATCCAAACATCACTGGCCCTTAAAGCTCCCAAGTGACTCGAATGTCCAGTCACTGAGGGAAGGTCTGCGGGAGATCCTGAAGAGAGCAAAGGTTGGCTGGAAGGAAGGTGGCACATACTCGCTTTCGTCATTTATGTCACTGACACTTGCTTTTGGTAATAAGTGCAAAATATACCACACAGAATTGAAGTAACAAGCGAGTCGGAGTATGAGAGGCTGACGATTAGGATGAAGACACAAATTGCAAAGCCCAAGTCAATTCTTGTGACAGAGTGTAAGTCAGTTGAAGATCTGTCTTTTTAAAAATTTTACTTTCATTTCATTGTAGTTAGATGGCTTGATAAAAAGTTGCATGTCATCTATTTATAAGAAATGCTCGACTACTGTTAGTTTTAGTGGTTTAATTTGTAAAAATTTCCACAAAGGCTTCTTTCTCCTCTAATAAAACAAAGTGCATTGTAGGTAATTCAGGGGACCCCATAACTTTAGTTCTGACCAAATGGTTTTAGTTCTCTCCTCGTCTGTGGACATTCTGTATTTGTTTCTGAAGATAATATCAATAAGGATGATTTATTTAACAGTGAAGTGCTTTACTGGCTATTCTTTTGCTTTAAAACTCATGGTAATGGACTAAAGTATGATCTCATCTATCCAAGTACAAACAAAATAGTAATTGGAAGGAAATATATAACTTCATGTTACACACACACACACACACACACACACACTAATTGCTTAATGTTTTCGAAAAAGTAAGGACAAACCTGGAGACTGGAATTGGCCTTTCTCACATTAATTACAATAAACACACCTTTAAAACATGTGACAACTGCTTCTTCATAATTTTAGCTTTTGTAATTTCAGCACCTAAGACCTGATTTTCCCTATCTTCTTAGGAGACACTACCATATATGCCACAAGTATGTGCCTTAAAGGTGCTTGAGATTCAGATTACAATGATTAATTAGCCTTTATCAGGTGAAGACAGTAAACTTAAAAATCTAGTGAACTAAAATTATTGAATCTCAGAAACAGGACGGGCATTAAATTAGGCACTAGTCCAACTCAACACTTCAGACAGAATCCGAGGTTGTCAAGCAACCTGCCAGCTAAGAGGGACAAGGTCACTGTCAAGACCCACATCTTCTCTTGCACCTCGCCACTGCCCTTTCTTCCATTTATGTCCTAGGAAATCACAGCTCAATTTAGCCCTGGGTTTACCTTGATGAGCTCCGGATTCTACCCTGGAATTCTCTTCTTGGGGACTGCTACCTAAAACTCAGGGCATTTGGGCAAATGTGGCTTCAAAAGCTCTTGTAACTTTTTGTTTCCAGCAGGGCATTCCAAAAGCCTTACCGTGGATCAAATCATTTAAAGTTTAAATCACATTGCGACTTTTCAGACACCCTGTATTCAGCTTATAGCTGTAGTTTTCAAACATTTTGGTCTCAGAACTCCTTTTCACTACTAAAAATTACTGATAATTCCAAGAGCTTTTGTTTACAGGGATTATTTCTGTGAATATGATACTAAAACTTAACCGAGAAGCTTAAAATATTTATTCATTCAAATATTACAGGGGCTGGCGCCATGGCTCACTTGGCTATTCCTCCGCCTGTGGCACTGGCATCCTATATGGGTGCCGGGTTCTAGCCCTGGCTGCTCCTCTTCCAGTCCAGCTCTCTGCTGTGGCCCGGGAGGGCAGTGGAGGATGGCCCAAGTGCTTGGGCCTCTGCGCCTGCATGGAGACCAGAAAGAAGCACCTGACTCCCAGCTTTGGATCAGCGCAGCGCCAGCCGTGGCGGCCATTTGGGGGGGTGAACTAACGGAAGGAAGACCTTTTTGTCTCTCTCTCACTGTCTATAACTACCTGTCAAATAAACAAATAAAAAATTAAATTAAAAAAATTAAATATTACAATAATCATTACATGGTAACCCAGATCACCAATTTTTAATGAAAAATGTATTTTAGAAAAACAAAAACAAAAAAACATTTAGTGGGACAGTATGGCTATTCTCTTTAAGGTCTGGCTTAAGAGCAGAAGGCTAGGTTCTCGTATTTGCTTCTGCATTTAATCTACAGCGAATGTGTTGTTTCTGGCTGAAGGAAATGAAGGAACTCTGATCTCATGGAGGAAAGACCTTCTGAACCTTCTGAAAAGATCTCAGCAACTCTGGAGGACCATGGGCTTCCAAAACGGCTCCTCTGTCCCGGCCACACCATCCTGACCGCGGCTGTGGCTCCCGGGACTGCCGCGTACAAGTCCCGGCTCCTCTTTCCACCAGGCAGAAGCAGGAACAAAGCAAGCAAGCACAGCTACGCAAGCAGCACACGGCTGGCATGCTCAACGTCTCGCTTCCACTTCTTCTTTTCTGTGTTTGCTTTCACAGCTGCCCCGCGATCAGGAGATTCCTTTCAGTCTCAGGAAAGTAACTTTCCAATTTAGGCTTATGTAACAACGTGACACAGCCTCTCTGTTAAAAGCAGTTGTTTCAGCAAAACCTCTGTAATAATGGCTGCAGACCGCACTGGCTTTAAATGCGTATTTGTTTTTTCAAATAGGGTACACAGAACGATTGGAACACAAATTATTTTAAACAGATAATTCTGAAGAAAACTTAAACACTGTTTATAAAATGGAATTTTCTCTTTAAATACATCGAAACTGGCTAGATAATATTCTTTTTAAAAATAAACAACTTAAAACCTATTTTATATAAAAATAATAGCACTTATGTCTATGAATACTGGGAGCTATGAAAATACTTTTAAGTCAATGACTTCCTAGTAACTCAGAACATTTAGGGGCCAACAATTTAATCAATGGAGAAGTAGCCTCAATTCTTACCATCCACAAAATGGATCCAGACAATTGTTCAAACTGATGGGACCCACTCCATCGAGATTTCACTGTGGCTAGACCAAAATCACCTATTTTTACTGTGAGGTCTTCATGAAGAAATATATCTGAGGTGTAGTGAGTAAAGGAAAACAACAGGTCTCAATTTCCTAATACAGCGAGCATTATGAAGAGTTCAGGTAAGAGGTCCACTTTCTGTGATTCTGTAATACGATATCTTTTAAAAATTGCAGTACTTAAAATCAATAAATATGTTTTAAACAATAATTAGTTCTATTTAGTTGATAAGATCTACTCTTATGAATTCTGGGGACTTGGTATGTTATGAGGATGAGGTGAGACGCTTTCCTAAGCTTATGGGATCTCCTGAAATTCCCTATTTGATTTAGTCACGGAGGCCCAAAGATCCTTCGGCATAGCTGGAAAAGCTCTAGGGATTCTTCATTTGAACAATGACATCAATAAACAGGACCTGAGCCTGGGCTTTTAGGGAAGAAGAAACTCATGTCTCTCTCATACAATTTCGAGTCTTCAGTAAAATCTCAAATACCACTGAGAAAATTCAGAGGGCTAAAAGAAGATCAGTTTTGCAGTGGTGATAGCCTACAAGTGATCAATCAAAAAGGTCTAATATATTATAAAGTCTTTTGACAGATTTTCTTGTAATGCTTGATCACTTAGAAATCAAAAGCTGGTTGTAGTATCCTGCTCCACAATATTCTCATGCAAACTGATTTACTAATTCTATTTACAGTTTATTGAACTTAGCACGAAAACTTTTTACATAATGTGAAGATAAAATGCAGAAGAAAAAGTCAGGATGTTTTCAAACTTCGCAGAAATTTCAGGAAGGATACTATTACTCTTGAGGTCTCTGTGGATGATTGACTTGGCGTGTAAGTAACTGAAAAACAAAACATCGTTTTAACCTGAGTAGGGCTAAAGGACTCTGACCTCAAAATCTATAGAACATATTTAGGGGTATAAAGACTTATTGAGATTCTTGATACAACTGAAAACTGTACATTGTGATAACATCTTTACATAATTTTAAAAGACTGTAAATGAATTTAGGATTACAGAACATACTACTGTAACAGTACAGCCAAATCTTATCTGCTATTACCAGATTGTATCTTTGACTAGTTACCAATACAAACCTTTCACTCCAGGCGAACTTAGGTATCCACATTCTTTAAATATATCGTGATGTTAAATCCCACCTCTGTCACTGTGTCCCTTAGCCAAAATTAGCCTTCATTCTATTTTCCATTTATCTCATACTCTTCCTTTAAGAATGAACACAACTCTAACTCCTGAGTGACATTTTCCCATAAGTAATCCAACTGAAAGTGACCTTTCACTGTTCGTCTGATACAGTGTTATCCTAGCAGCAGCTTGATTCATGTGTCTTTTCAAGCACCAGCGTTTGGTCCCTATTCAGGACATAAACCCCACTAGAATATGGAAGTTTGATTAATAAACTAAAATTGCTTTTAAAGGTGGTTTCATATATTCTTGAAATCACGAAGAGCAAACTAATGGCCACAGCGGTTTTATGTCAAACTTAATGGTAAGTCTGAATCGTCTCCACTGCCTCCAAAGGCTGCTTTAGTTATACTCACGGGGAAAAGTCTGTACAGTTTATTTCACTTTATCCCCAGTGCCTAGTACAGAGCCTGGCACGCGCATAAGTATTCACCACGCGTCTCTGAATCAAGTACAACGAGATGACTTAATGTCCTAGCGTCAAGGTTCTTCTTCTTTTAATACTGGAGAGAACAGACGTATGAGACTTCTGAAAGCTGACAATGAGCATTAGAAATAAGCTGTGCGTTAAAACAAGAATTTCTAATCCAAATCCAAATTGTATAATGAACAGTTAAAAACTAAAGATCTGTAAATAATACATTATCCTTATTTTCCCATCTTCATTTAACCTTCCTCCTTCTCCCAGAAAAAGATTTTTAAGACAGACGTTTCATTTCAAATTACTATTTATCCAAAGTTACCCCTTCTTTTCCAACTCCTCTCTGACATCACACTGTTTATTTCCTTCACAGCATTTACCACGATCTAAAACTATCTCTGAATGAATTCAGGCCCCATGTTCTCCCACCACGGTACGCTTTCAGTCTTCCACGGAACGAAAATGGGATGTCAGGCAAAGTTTCATCTGCTTTAAAGTTCGGCAGTGATACAAACAGGTAACAACAACAGGTGATGATAAGTGAGTCCCAGTCTCATTTTTCAAGATGAGAAGATCTAATTTCCGTCAGAAAAGGGGAGGGCCAGTCCTGTGGTGTAGCAGGTTAAGCCACTACCTACAGTGCCAGCATCCCATATGGGCGCTGGTTCGAGTCCTGGCTGCTCCCACTTTTGATCCAGCTGCCTGCCAGTGTGCCTGGGAGGGCAGTGGTACATGGCCCATGTGCTTGGGTCCTCCTACCCACGTGGGAGACCTGGATGAAGTTCCTGGCTAATGGCTTCAGCCTGGCCCTGACTCAGCCCTGACTGTTGTGGCCATTTTGGGAGTGAACCAGCAGATGGAAGATCTCTCTCTGCCTCTCCCCTGCAATTCTTTCAAATAAATAATCTTTTTTTTTTTTTTTTAAGATAAAAGGGGATGAAGAGGGTCTTTTATCCTGTAGTACAAAAACACAGAAACAAAACAAATGGGAGGCATGTAAAAATAGGGGGACATGATAAAGTCAAAAGAAGGGAAGGTCAAGGTATTCTTGACAGATGGTGTCACTTCTTCAACAAACTTAATTCAAAGATACACAGCAAGAATAGAGGAGACAGAAACATAACAGAAGGGTTGAAAGAGAAAATTTTGGCCAGGAATATACAAGGGTAATCAACAAGATATAAATGTGACTGCTGAGCTAATGATACAACTAGATCAGAAGTTAGATACTGTAAACCGACTACAGGCCAGAACTGCATGTAGCTGCAACTTGAAACACCACCCCCATATATATATTTGTGTGATCCTTTATAGTTTACAAGCTATTTCCCTATTTTTATCTCATTTAGTAATTCTCTTTCTGTAACACTTCTGTTAACAAAAACAACAAAGAGTAGAAGTCCAGGTCTTTATGACGGAAGATGGCAAGGAAAGGGTGCTCTATACTTCCAGCTAGAAAAATGAGGTGAGCATCAAATTCCAATCTCTGCATAATATGAGTGACTGCTACCCTAAATAATTCTATACTGGCTGAAATTAAAATAGGATTTCATGAGCACTAAGGAGATCCCAAAACCCTCCAGATACCTGGCTGGAGATGGGAACAAGAATAAAAACTACTTTGCTACAACTGATACTGCAAAGCTACAAAGGTCTATTATTTAGGATAATTAGACTGGACTTCCTTCATACCACTTTAAGGTATTAGGGACAATGTTACAGGTTTACAACAGCACTAAGGAAAGAACAAACATACTAACAACTAAATGAAAGGCTGGCTCTGTGGTGTAGCGGGTAAACGTGCCACCTGCATTCCATATGGGTGCAGGTTCAAGTCCTGGCTGCTCCCACTTCCAATCCAGCTTCCTGATAATGCACCTGGGAAAAAAGCAGTGGAAAAGTGGCCCCAGTGTTGGGCCCTTGCACCCATATGGGAGCTGTGGAAGAAGCTCCTGGTTCCTGACTTCAGGTTGGCCCAGCTCTGGCAACTGCAGCCATCTGGGGAGTGCACCAACAGATGGAGGATCTCTCTCTCTCTCTCTGTCTCTCCCTCTCTCTGCAACGCAGCCTTTCAAATAAATAAATAAATAAATAAATGAATAAACCTTTAAAAAAAACTAAATGAACATCACATTCTCTGGTCTTTCTGAAGAAAAGTGTCCACTTATAAGCCATTTACTCTTTAAAAAAACTTATTAACTAAATCGAGAGGCAGAACTCCCAGACACTGGTTCATTACCCGAATATCCACACCAGCTACAGCCAGGCAGCCAGGAACTTAGTCCAGGTCTGTCACGTGAGTGGCAGGGACTCAACTACTTGCCTCTCAGGGGTTGCATTACCAAGAAACTTGACTGAGGAGCCAGAGTTGGCACTGAAATCAGGTACTCTGATATGGAACACAAGTGTCTGAACTGGACAGGCTAAATGCCTGTTCTGGTAGTAATTTTATTATAAAGCCACAATATCATCTAGGAAAATTTGTTCTAACTATTTCTTTTAAATTCTTATCCAAGATACAGTTTTTTTTTAACATCCTGTTTAGAGCATACTTTGATGTCCAAACTGAATACTTCAGATTTGATCTGACCTACTCATAGTGAGATTCTTATCTTCACCCTCCTTGTGGTAGGCATAACATTTTAATTTTTTTAAAGATTTAATTTATTTAATTGAGAGGTAGAATTTCAGACTAAATTCTATTCTTTCTTGAATTATTCACTTCCTTCCTCTTAAAAATCAAATTTATTGAGGCATAATTTACATACAATATACTTTAAATGTCTAATGTGTTCTTAAATACACCTGTATAATGGTCAGCTACAATCAAGATAAAGAATATCCATCAGTCCAAAGTTTCTTCATCTATTTTTGCAATTACTAATATTCCCATAGGCTCAGGCAACCACTGCTAATGATGTCAGCACATACTAGTTTGACCTTTCTAGAACTTTGTATACATACAGTCGTATGGTGTCTTTTGCTCAATAGGATTCTGAGATCCCCTTCTTGGCTGTATGCAGTGTTCCAGGGCAGGTTGTTCCTGACTTTTGGCAACCATGCATAACACATTCATGTACAAATCGTTGTCAGCCCATGTTTCCTTTCTCTTGGGTATTTAGGTAGGATTAGAACTGTTAATGTGTTGAGTTTAACTTTAAAGAAAATGTCAGTTTGTTTCCCAAAATGGCCACATCACTTAGGATCCTTAGGAGAGCTCAGTTGCCTTGATGCTTGCTGCCACGTGGTGCCTGTGGTTCTGGTTACAGGTGTTCCAGTAAGGATGCAGTGCTACCTCGTGGCATCTTGCTCTTCCCTAATGTCGAATGATGTTTGAACACCTTTGCATGTGCTTATTTGCTGTTGGTATATCTTCTTTAATCCAGTGTTCAAATCTTCTACCAGTTCTTTTCATTGGGTGCTATGTTTTCTTACTGAGTTGTAAGAATTCTTCATTTGTGTGGGATACAAATATTTTTATCAGATAATATGTTTTAGAAACAAGTCTATGGCTTGTCTTTTCATTTTCTTAACAGTATCTTTCAGAGAGCAACAGTTTTGAATTTTCAGGAAGTCCAATTTATTTTATTTTTTTTCTTTTATGGTCCTTGTTTTCTGTGTCACAAGAAAACATCTTTAGGTTACAAAGATTTTCTAGGTTTCTAGTAGACATTTTAGATTTTTAAATCTTAGGTCTTTGATCCATTTCAAGTTAATTTTTAGTCTATGTCACAGAAAGGTTAATTTTTTTTCCCTATATGGATATCCAGTTGTTCCAGCAATACAAAAAGTGTATTTCCCTGAACTGCCCTGGCACCTCAGTCAAACTCAAATTTGACCACAGATTCGCCAATCTATTTCTAAGATTTCTATTCTGTTTCATGGATATATATATATGTATCTATCCTCGTGCCAATACCACAGTATTGATTACGTGGTTTTTATAAAGAGTTCTGAAATCTCACAGTAGAAATCCTTCAATTATTCTTTCTCAAATTTGTCTTTTATTTATTTATTTATTTATTTATTTTTGACAGAGTGGACAGTGAGAGAGAGACAGAGAGAGAAAGGTCTTCCTTTGCCGTTGGTTCACCCTCCAATGGCCGCCGCTGCAGCCGGCGCACCGCGCTGATCCGATGGCAGGAGCCAGGATCCAGGTGCTTTTCCTGGTCTCCCATGGGGTGCAGGGCCCAAGCACCTGGGCCATCCTCCAC